GCGCAAGCCACAGAAGGCAAAGGCAGGGACTGGGAGAATGAAGAACTGCCCACTGTAGGAGAAGATCAGGTTCAAGACCATCTTAGGAACCTGAAGGTGGACAAGTCCATGGGACCTGATGAGGTGCATCTGCGGGTCCTGAGGGAACTGGCAGATGAAGTTGCTAAGCCACTACCATCATATTTCAGAAGTTGTGGCAGTCTGGTGAAGTTTCCAATGACTGGAAAAGGGGAAACATGGCCCCTGACTGGAAAAGGGGAAACATAGCCCTCATTTGTAAAAAGGGAAAAAAAGAAGACCCAGGGAACTACAGGCCAGTCAGTCTCACCTCTGTGCCCAGCAAGATCATGGAGCAGATCCTCCTGGCGACTATACTAAGGCACATGGAAAATAAGGAGGTGATTGGTGACAGCCAGCATGGTTTCACGAAGGGCAAATCCTGCCTGAGTAATTTGGTGGCCTTCTATGATGAGGTTACAGCATTGATGGATAGGGGAAGAGCAACTGACATCGTCTACCTGGACTTATCCAAAGCATGTGATACTGTCCCACACGACATCCTTGTCTCTAAACTGGAGAGACATGGATTTTTGAAATCATAAGAATTTTACAGATCCTCAACGCTACTGTCAAGAAACCAACGAGCTTCCAGTGTGGCCTCTCAGAGAGGACTGTGATGTTTACAGAAGATCTCCACTTGGTTCCTGACGTTCCTAGCCAGCCAGAAAGTTGTCAGAAGGAGAAAGCACGCCCAGAGCCAATGACAATGTGGGCAAAACTGTGCTTCCTTGCACTACATAGATGAATGAGTAAGCAACAAGGTGACGTTCTACTTTCTGTGAATATAAAAACCACGAAGAAGATGGTTACAGTTCACGGTCTTGTGCCTGGGGGCACTGCCCTGGCAGCCTCAAAAGCACATAATTATCTTCTAGAGAAAGAGAGAAACACAGTTAAGGCTGTTCCACTGAGAGTGGCTTTCATCACACTCAAAACTGGCAACACCAAGAACATGAAGAAGCCAAGAAGCTGCCAACCAGCTGTCCCAAAAAATGAAGTGTCCAGGGAAGCTACCCAGTCCTTTTCCAACTGACACCCACAGGCACAGCTTGTTACTGCTGAGTCCAGCTCTTTGTTCTCAAAGAAGACAACCTCTGGCTGCCTTCTTCTACAAAAGGGGTGAGGAGAAGGCACACACACAGAGAGCACAACAAAACTGTCAGAGGAAGAACAAAATGTACGCTGCCCAGCTACGAACGAAGACTCCTGCGGCCCAGGAAGGGAAGAGGTTTGGGTTTAACGCTATTCAGCAGCCAAAATCCTATGCCAGGGATAGGCTTGAAAACTAAACAAGTCTACTTGATGTGGAAGACTTACTGTAGCCAGCATTTATATTAAAAAACCCCACAAATAAACCAAAAAAAACTCACAGAAAAATCAGTCTATTAAGGATTTATAGGTCAGGAGTATCCTGTGATAGTTCTTTTTTCAAACACCAGTATCAGAATGAAATAAAAGCTGTAAACAGCATCTTTCTTCAGACTGAGCTCAGTTTACTTCAAAATAAACTGAGGAAGGAAAACCATGCGGTGCACGTACACGTTCTCTCGTCGCTCGCAGTGACAGACTGCCAGAGAAGATCAGTAATGTGAGGAAAGGAAACAATGAAGAGTATTAATAGTTTAAAAGCACCTTTGCCTCCTCAGAGCCTTGTCAGTACTTTCAGTACACAGACTATACAAAGAAAAATTAAATGCCAGATTTTAACCTTTAACTGCAATGACTAGTAGGCATGAATCATGGAATCATGGAATGGTTTGGGTTGGAAGGGACCCCAGAGATCATCCAGTTCCAACCCCCCTGCCATGGGCAGGGGCACCCTCCACTACAGCAGGTTGCCCAAAGCCCCATCCAACCTGGCCTGGAACACTTAGGGGGAAAGGAGACCTATTCAAGGCTTCACACTTGCTACTCTTAAATGGAGATGGCAGTTTATGACACACTGAAAATATCAACAGGTCTGCCAGAAAAAAAAAATAAAAATCGATACACCAAAAATACAGAAAATCTTCATACAAAACAATGAAACAAAAGGTTTGTTTGCTTCAGATCAGAGCAAGAACGGTCAAAAAATCTGCAGAGATCCATTAAGCCTGGTAACGTGAGCGCCTGTAGGATTTTGGTAAGCAAGCTGTGGGAGACAGGGAAGGAAAGCTTCGGGCTGATGTGGGACAGCAGAAGCTCATAAAGCCTGGAGAGGGCAGCAGCATTAACATAAATTCAATAAAGCCAATCCAGTACCTAAGCTGGAGTCACAGGGAGACTGCAGAGGAACTAAATTGCTGGGAATGAGAATGAGAGAGCAGAGAACCGATTTTCAGCGGCTCCGTATTCACGTGCTGCCAGCAGAACAGCACAGAGTGGCAGAGAACCGATTTTCAGCGGCTCCGTATTCGCATGCTGCCAGCAGAACAGCACACAGTGAAAAAAAAAGTGAAGAAGTGAAAAAGAAAACACAAGCTCCAACTCGAGTGAAGCACATTGTTTTCAAAACCAAAATCCACTGGTTTTGAAGAAGAACCCCTGCCACTCAGCAGTGAGCAACGCTCCAAGCATACCTTCAAATTTGGCGTTCACCATGACGTACAAGTGCTCCCACGGGTAGGCGTTCAGGTCCCGAGACACGGCGTGTAAACTGATGGTGGGGTAGTCCAAGGAGAATCCAACTCCAGAGTTTTCCAGCCAGGACAGGCGACTAACAGGAGAGGGGGAAAAAAGACACAAGTTAGAAGCTAACAGAGGGATTTAAGGTACCTGGCTCATGCCTACGGAAAGGCAAACCAGCTCACCACAGTGAGTGACTGTGGACAACACACCGACCTCACTCTCAGGTCATACATGGTGCTGGACCTGCCCTACCAAGCCTTGCAGCAGCACTAAGTGATGGCTGAGGTAAAAGAAACCTTTTCTCACAGCACCCGAAGCTGAGCACCCTAAATACATTTCAGCTTTACCACGTTTGCACTAAACCCTGCATTTCTCGCCCTACCTCCTCGTTTTCTCCTCTCTGCAGATATCCATCATCCCAGAGACAACTACAGAGGTTCCAGAGTGTGATCTGTAACTCAAACTAGCAAACAGCCTGTGGTTTTTCAAGATAAAGAATCATAGAATCGTCTGGTTGGAAGAGACCCTCAAGGTCATCGAGTCCAGCCGTTCACCCTGCACTGTCAGGGTCCCTAAACCATGTTGCTCAACACCAAATCCACACAGTTTTTAAACACCTCCAGGGATGGGGACTCCGCCACCTCCCTGGGCAGCCTGTTCCAATACTTCACAACCCTCTCTGTAAGGAAATTTTTCCTGATATCTAAGAAATTTTTCCTGATATCTAAAGAAATTTTTCCTGATATCTAAAGAGAACACTATGAAAGGAAAGCCACTGCTGTAATTTTGGGAGGACTATAGATCTGATGTGGGAATAGTGAGTATGTAGAAAAACTATCAGTGATCAGCAGAGCTAACAAAGCCAGGTTAGAGTTTTTTACCCCTCAACTTATGTGTTATAACCTCTTCTTCCCCCCATTTTCACTCTGAGCCCTGACCACAGCAAGGGACAGCGCAGGCTGTCACCACTGGGCTGCTACCTCCTTCCCATCAGGCAGACCGGTGTCTTTCCAGCAGCCAGGAAATCAAACCCAGCTTTGGGTGTCTGTGACTGGTGAAGCCACACAGCGAACAAACACCAAGGGGCAGAAAGCAAGACCTGTGCCATGTGCAGAACCCAGCGCCCCCAGTTTCTGTGCAGGGCAAAACCAGTGAAAAGGTCGCAGAGGACTCCCTGCCCCAGGAAATCGGACTGAACGCAAGAGCTGGCAGAGTGGGAGTGAGGAATTTCTTCCCCAGCCTTGATCAGCCAGTCCTCAACGTCCACAGCTGCTGACACAGAAGTCAGTACACAGATCCAAAGCCACATTGTGCTCCCGGGTGCCCAGCTCTCCCACAGCACAGCGCTCCTGCAAACACTGGCGTTTTCCATTCGTTACCAGCAAGTGGCTCTGGTGAAAGCTCCGTGATGCGCTCGAAACACGCTGGAGGAAGCTGCCAGACTGGTACACACCTCAGAGAAACCTGCTGAAAGCAGCTCCCAAAAAAACTCAACACTAAACGTGCTGGGAGCAGATGCTGCATGAACAGAAGCCCTTTTATCTGCAGCCAAACAACTACACAAGACAGGAACTGACATTCCAGGGAGATTTCTCTCCGAGAGGAACGCAACATCACCAACAGGTTCAGGTGGGGCAAACGCCTCTCAAACAGCATTAACTCTTTTATAAATATTTCAGTCTTACTGGCTTTAAAAGACAATTCACACCTCAGCACACGTTTCAGATAATGTTTTTGTTCTCACCACGCTCTTCTGCTGCAGAAATCTGTTCTATTTACAGCACTTTTCCACGGTTAAAAAGAAAATTACCATGCCTTACTCAGTGAGCTGTCTTCTTGAACCATGCAATACAGAGATAATGTAAAGGAAGTGATAAAGCAATCAGATAACATCCTGCAGAGAAACCAAACTGCTGCCTTGTGAAAACACAGAGCATCTCCGTGATTAATGTGACGCGAGAGGCTTCACGGAACCACAGCAGTTGGTAACAGCAGAAAATCCACAGCCTCATCCCCTCCCCTGCCAACGGGAGAGAGGTGCAAAAGTTTCATAGAATCATGGAATGGTTTGGGTTGGAAGGGACCTCAAAGATCATCCAGTTCCAACTCCCCTGCCATGGGCAGGGACACCCTCCGCTACACCAGGTTGCCCAAAGCCTCATCCAACCTGGCCTTGAACACCTCCAGGGATGGGGCAGCCACAACTTCTCTGGGCAACCTGTTCCAGTGCCTCGCCACCCTCTGAGTGAAAAATTTCTTCCTTAGATCTAATGGAAATCTCCCCTCTTCCAGTTTAAATCCATTGCTCCTTGTCCTATCACTACACACCCTTGGAAAAAGTCCCTCTCCAGCTTTCCTGTAGCCCCTTTAAGTACTGGAAGGCTGCTATAAGATCACCCCGGAGCCTTCTCCAGGCTGAACAGCCCCAACTCTCTCAGTCTGTCTTCATTGCAGAGGTGCTCCAACCCTTGGATCATCTTTGTGGCCCTCCTCTGGACCCACTCCAGCAGCTCCATGTCCTTCTTGTGCTGGGTACCCCAGAGCTGGACGCAGTATTCCAGGTGGGGTCTCACAACGCGTTAATCGCTCTGGTGTTGTTTGAAACACCGTTTAGAGCAGAAATAGCACAGACCACCCTGAGCTCGCCCCTCGCAGCCCTCTTCGAGGGCCTCCCCCCCATG